TGGAAAAGGGGTGTTTGCACATGTAATTAAACTAAGGATCTTGAGATGAGATCATCCGGTATTATCCCCAGGAGCCTAAGTGCCTACAAGTGTCCTTATAAGACAGACTCAGGGAGATTTTAGACAGACCCACAGAGGAGGAAGCACTGTGAAAATGAAAGTAGAGATTCCAGTGATGCAGCCACAAGCTCAAGAATGCCAGGGCAGCAGCCCTCACAGAAAGTAAGAGACAAAAAATGAATTCTACTCCAGGGCCCCCAGAAAGAGTGTGGCCCTGCTGGATCTTGTACTTCTACCATCCAGAAATGTGAAAGAAAAAATTCCTGTTGTTTTAAGCCACTAAGTTTGTGATAATATGTTACAGCAACGTTAGGAAACTCAGAGAGATTTAAGCAACTTGCCCTAAGTCACAAAGCTGTGAACCCAGAATTCAAACCCATTTTCTTAACCAGTATATTATATTGCCTGTAAGCTGAATTGAATTTGTCATCAAATGTCTTGGATTCATTTATTCAACAAATCTTTATTCCGTACCTACCATGGACAAGGCCTGTACTGGCTGAAGATACAGTAATGAAAAAGACAGAAACATTCTTGCCTTTGCATACTCCACAATTTAGTGGAAGAGCAAAACTTTCAGCAAGTACTTTCACATACACAAATACTGAAAATCATTTAATCCCAGCAGTGATAGATGCTGCAAAGGAGATGAATGAAAAGAATAAGACTTATCCTGGGATATAGTATCAGATCCATCTGACATAGGCCCAGCTAATGGCTGAGGTAGGGGTCAGCTCTTTATTCCCTCTGGCCTGTTTCCTGAGGGTTCGAGGGCCTACAGCTCCACTTCAGCCCTCCTGAGCTTGTGGAAGTTGGTCCACAAACAGGGCAAGTCCATTATTTGCGGAAGAAGACCCACAAAAGAAGAAAGGCAGTAAAGAGTTTGGCGGACAGCGAGCTCTGCAACCTGTTGCAGACTTTATTGTGAGACAGTGGAGTGTGTGGAAACTTCTTTTAGACAAACTTGGAAAATCTTGCCTTCCTGTACCAAGCAAGATTTCCTGTAGGGCCATGAGAAGCTCACTTATTATCTCTTTAGTTCCAAGCTATATTACTTCAGGGAAGTTTCTGACAAGGATTCATACTTAAGTATCTCTTTGTCTGGGTTTATTTTGTCAAATGCTTATTTGCTTTAAAAAAAAAAATGCCATGAGTCTTAGCTGGTCTAGCAGTTTAGGAAGTTCAAATCCCCACATACCTCAGAGGCAGAGCTCCTAGTCTCTACCTTGATTGCTGCAAATACCTTATTTTATAGCCATTTTCAGGAAATGATTCCATTCTCTGTGGGCCCAAAGTCAGGCCTAACCAACTCTCGCCATTGGACTATGGTTGTATAGAATTAAAATTGACCTACAAGAATTTTCTATCCATGACCTTTTGTTGTCTTCTGAACTCAGAAACCTAGATTATTCCCAAAGATCCTTGCCAGGACTTCAAGTTCAACTCCAATGTTCCCAGTAGTTACATTCATTTCTTCATTCAACAAGTATTTATTGAGCACCAGCCACGTGTCAGGCACTGTGCTGAGGATACAGAGGTGAAAATACAAAATTCCTCTCTCATGTGCCTTGCTTTCTGGTGGAGTCAGCAAATCCCTGTGTGGGAAGTACTATTGTACCTGACACTTCCCTGAGCACCATTTAATTTGCCATAAAAACTCCACAAGGCACATAGTATTATGTCCATTTCATAGACAGGAACACAAGTTCAAAGTAAAATGATTCAGCTAGTAAATGCAGAACCCGAACTCAAATCCAGGTTTTCCTGGCTACCAAGCCCATGTTCTCCATGACTACTTATTTCTAAAATAATGATCTGTGTATATAGGGAGGAAAGAAAGAAGGGGCTTGGAAGACTTTTTGCTGGTAGGATATCCTTTCTGGAAGGGGCTATTCTTGATTATCTTTAGGTGGTTTTTCTTATTGGTGCTTTTTCTTTGATTTTTATCTTTTCTTCAATAAATATCTTATACTTTTGTAGTCAGATAAAAAAATATGTCAAAGACATAATCATTTTAAAACTCATATATACCCCTAAGAATTGAAAACAGGTATTTAAACAAATGCAGGTATACACATATTCACAACTGTATTACTCACAGTAGCCAAAAGATGGAAGCAGCTTAAATGTCCATCCATGGAATGACTGGTAAACCAAGAATGGGACAGACATAATGATGGAATATTATTTAGCCATAAAAATGAATGAAGTTCTGATACATGCCATAACATGGATAAATTTCAAAAACATTATGCTGAGTGAAAGAAGCCAGACCTAAAAGGTCACATGTATGATTTCATTCATGTGAAATATTCAGAAGAGATAAATGCACAGAGGCAGATATTGGATTTGTTGCCGGGGGCTGGCTAGAGCGGGAAAAGGGAGCAATCACTTTATAGAAACAGACTTCCTTTTGGGCCACCAGATGTGTTTTCCAATTGGATAGAAATGGTGATTGCACAGCATTGTCAGTGTACTAAACAAAAATAAGAAAACTCTAAATAAACAAAATAGTCACATTGAAGAGGTTTGGCCTTGCTATTCTTTTGTACTGCCAGGTCTCTGAATGTTACGAAAATAGCTTTAATATTGCAATGCTAACTGTTTTTACTTAGTGCTGCAGCCCCAGTTTCGAGTAAGAGCTCTGGCATGTCCACTAATAAAGTAACCCTGGGCCATTCACTAACCCTCTCTGGACTTCTGTGTCCTCAGTTGTCATGCAAGGGTAAAAATGTCCACTGAAGTCATTCCCAGATCCTAACATGATAACGCTGTGCTTTGTAAACTGTAAACTAACTTGAATATGTGTTTCTTTATTTTTATGTCAAGAAACAGTAGGTGATCTGAAATTATCTCTGTTTACCAAGCATCTGTGTTAAAAGAACTATGAGCATAAGGGGTAAGATCTTGGTAAAGGGTCTATTTAGAGGCCATACTTTCTGTTGATGTTCATATTGCTGTTTTTTGTTCGTGGGTGTTTTGGTTTTGTTTTTACTTTATAATAAAGTTATTCATGTAAAAAGGAATGTTTGGGGCTAGGAGAAATGTTGAGGTAATGGAAAACTCTAACAATGAGATCATACATTGAAGACAAGAGCTCAGGGAAAGCCTTTCTGCTGTTGACAGGCATTTTTCTGCGAAGAATTCCCAATAGGAATAAAATATTGCTGATGATAGTCGAGTCAGACTTTTGTCCTGGAGCACAGGCAAATCATAGGTAGACCTTGAGATACTGGCCTTGCAATGAGTATCACTTTGGTACCAAGTGACAGAGGATGCTATCATCCTGCATCGAATCAGGTGAGCCCACTGTAGCCCATCCCTCCAGTCCACCCAAACCAGTTAGACAGTGCCTTCCCAGATCTCAGCAGCCCTCATCCTGCCCAGAGAGGAATTTGGAGAAGGCCTGGGGAAATCTTGAAAAACTACCTCAGCATCCACCCAAACGGCTTAGGTCCTCTTTCCCAGGGTCAGCTCAAGCAGGAGACTTCTAGCAGGAAGATAGATGGCTCCCAGCAGCTCAGCAATTTTAAGGTAAGGTGGGCCTGATGGGTCACCTGTACCATTTATTGCTCTTATCCTTAAATCTTTTTCTTACAAACAAACAAACGGACAAAAAACACTAGCCCTTGCAAAATCTAAACATATTTATTTATTGTAGAAAATCTAGAAAATAAAATGAAGCCAAAATTATGTTACTGCTAACAGATATTCTTTTATTCTTTTAATTCTTTTAATTACGTTACTGCTAACAGATAATCTGTTATTTTTATGCATATGTTTTATAGATATATTTACTGAAATAGAATCATATTGAAGCATTCTCTTTTGTAAACAACATTTGTTTCTTACCAACAATTTCACAAACATCATTCTGTGCCTCTGTCACCAGGCTGAGTGCAGTGGCATGCTCTGGGCTCACTGCAACCTCCACCTACTGGGTTCAAGTGATTCCCCTGCCTCAGCCTCCCGAGTAGCTGGGACTGTAGGTGCCATGCCCAGCTAATTTTTTGTATTTTAGTAGAGACAGAGTTTCACCATACTGGTGAGGATGGTCTCCACGTCCTGACCTCATGATCCACCTGCCTCGGCTTCCCAAAGTGCTGGGATTACAGGTGTAAGCCACTGCGCCTGGCCTAAATTTAGTTCTTATCTAAGACACTGATATAGCTGTTAGCAGGAAAAGGATGTAGACACAGCCTCTATCATGATTACACTTTGTCTTGTTGCCAGTATGGAGAACTACCTCTCTTCTCTTACAAATGCATATAGTTTAGATCTTGTTTTTAAAATATTTTTCACTGATTTCAGCATCTTCCTGTTTCTCTCATCTGTCCTCAAGATGCTCACAGTCTAGTGGGAGAAACAGAGCAAATGAAGTGAGCATATAATACATTTGGGGAAGTTTGGGATAAAGCTTTGTGGAGGTGACATTTGAGTTGGGTATTATAGGATGCACAGGTGTTTGCTAAATAGGAAGCAGATTAAGGACACATCTGGCCATGACCCACATCTCTCTTTAGCCCACATGAATGCCGATATTGCATGCCTATTTTCTCTCACAGTTCCTGCTGTTTTTCTGCAAGCAGTGTTTTCTCATTCACAATTAGATTTTTATTCTTGGCATTCTAAAAGATGCAGTTGTGATTCAGAAATGCTAAGAAGAAAGAATATGCTCCATTCTTTAGGTAGAGGACTTAAAAAATTTTTTGGATACATACTAGGTGTATATATTTATGGGTTATTTGAGATATTTTGGTACAGGCATGCAATGTGTAATAATTACATCTTGGAAAATTGGGTATCTATTCCCTCAAGCATTTATCCTTTGTGTTACAAACCAATTATACTCTTTTAGTTATTTTAAAATGTACATTTAAATTATTATTGTCTATAATACCCCTGTTGGGCTATCAATACTAAGTCTTATTCATTCTTTTAAAAATATGGAAGACTTCATGAATTTGCATGTCATCTTTGCCCAGGGGCCGTGCTAATCTTCTCTGTATTGTTCTGATTTTAGTATATGTGCTGCCACAGTAAGCCCTAGAGGAATTTTTAAGATGTATTCAGATCATTGAACATCCTGTGTCATTCATGTCTTTTTTTCAGTACTAGTTTTATGATCATTACTTCACATATATATATATATATATATATATATATTTTTTTTTTTTTTTTTTAATTGTACTTTAGGTTCTGGGGTACATGTGCAGATCATGCAGCGTTGTTGCATAGGTGCATACATAACCAAGTGGTTTGCTGCCTCCATTCCCCCTTCATCTATATCTAGAATTTCTCCCCACATTATCCCTCCCCACCCTCCCCACCCCCTGCTGTCCCTCCCCTAGCTCCTATATTTATATTAATGAAAATAATTATTATTAACATACTTAGAGTACCTTCCACATGCTAGGTGCTTTGAATGATACCTTATGTTTATTATCTCCTTTTACCATTAACAAAGAAGAAATCTGAGCTCAGAGAGGTTGAGTAACCTAAGGTCATGATGCAACTCATAAAGCAGCAAAACAGATTTGAACGTTGGTTTCTCTGTCTCCTAAGCCTGACCATTTACATTTTCTTATTCTATCCAATTGTTCAATATACTCTCTGACTCTCTTTCTTGGTCTTTACCCATTGATTCTTCTCTGTAATTGCCCTTTGGATTAGTCTGCTAGGGCTGCCATAACAAGATACCACACACTGTGTGACTTAAACAACAGAAATGTATTGTATTACACTTCTGGAGGCTGGGAAGTCCAAGATCAAGGTCCAGCAGTGATCACTTTCTAGTGAAGGCTCTCCTTCTGGCTGGTGGATGGCCACTGCCTTTTTGCTCTGCCCTTGCATGGCAGAAAGAGACAGACTGACAAGTCTCTTTTATTTTCATGAGGCCAACAATCTTACCAGATTAGGGCCCCACCCTTATTACCTTATTTAATGTTACCTCCTAAAAGCCCTATCTTTTTTCTTTTTTGAGATGGAATTTTAGTCTGTTGCCTGGGCTGAGTGCAATGACACAATCTCAGCTCATGACAACTTCCACCTCCCAGGTTCAAGCGATTCTCCTGCCTCAGTCTCCTGAGTAGCTGGGATTACAGGCATGCATCACCATGCCTGACTAATTTTATATTTTTAGTAGAGACAGGGTTTCTCCATGTTGGTCAGGCTGGTCTCAAACTCCCAACCTCAGGTGATCCACCCACCTCAGCCTCCCAAAGTGCTAGGATTACAAGTGTGAGCTACAGCACCCGGCCCAAGCCCTATCTTTAAAATACAGTCACATTGGAGTTAGGCTTCAACCCTAACTTCAATATAAGTTTTGGAGAAACACAGTGCAGTCCATTGTACCATTCTTAAAATATTGCATGTATTTTTTCCATGGTTTTGCTTATGCTGTTTTACCAGCATAAGCTTTCTGTCTTTCAAAATCTTTTCAATTGTTGATTACCCAACTCAAATGTTATTTCCTATAAAGACTTCTCTGATTTTCCAGTCAAATTTAGTTGCTCTTTCTCCTACTCAGTAATGATACTTTGATGGTATTTTGATTGAGCCCTGATTTTACTCAAACTACATTATATATTTAAGCTTTTTGAAGTCAGGGACTGTGCCTTAATATGCTCCCAGTTTGCTCTCAATTTTATTGGTACTCTATAACATTTATGACTTGAGTTTTTCATTAGTTACAAAGAATGAGGGAGGCATTTGGGTGAGTTTAGGCTACATAAGAGAAATGCTTGTGCCCATCTCCCAGAGTTGGAAGTGATGACTTGCAGAAGACAGAAAAATGTTGCTTGAGGGGTTTAGACTGAGACCACCAAGTAAAAGTTACAAAGAAGCAGATTTCTGCCCAATATATGAAAAAACTTTTTAACAAATTACATAACAGTGAAGGAAACTAACACTCATTGATAATCAGTTGCTAAACTGCTGCTTTACAATTTCCACTTCCACATGGCCTTATAAAATAGTTTCCATCTTTTACAGATGAAAAAACAAAAGTTCCCAAAAGTCTAAAGATCTGATATAAGGTCATGTAGTCTACCTCCTTCACTCATTTCTTCATGGAGAAGTAATCTCCCTTTCTCTAGAGAAATTGAAGCCAACTACATGACCAGTTTTCAGGAATGCCATATTAAGAATGCTCTAGGGGTGTTGGTATAACTAATATTTCAGTTTTCTTTCTTCTCTGAAGTCTTCTGACTCAGGAATTCTCCATCCCTGACATGGATTTAATGGAAATAGACCTATAAAACCTAACTTCTCCCATCCCTTTGTGGATAATATATATTATAAAACTTGTATTAAGATTATTACAAATTATCATTACATTGTTTCGTGTATGGTGGTCCTGTCAACTAGGGGTGTGTGTGTGTGTGTGGGGGGGGGGGGGTGTTTTGAGACAGGATCTCACTCTTTGCCCAGGCTGAAGTTCAGTGGCATGATCGCAGCTCACTGCAGCCTCGACTTCCTGGACTCAATCGATCTTCCCCCCTCAGCCTCCTGAGCAGGTGGGATTCCAAGCACATACCACCATGCCTGGCTAAATTTTTGTGTTTTTTGTAGAGATGAAGTTTTGCCGTGTTTCCCAGGCTGGTCTCAAACTCCTGGGCTCAACTGACCCGCCCGCTTCAACCTCCCAAAATGCTGAGATTACAGGCATGAGCCACTATACCCAGCTTCTGTCAGTATTTATGAAGCTGTTTGGGGGACATAGCTTGGAAATATCCTTACTAACAAAATTGACTTGATTCTTACCAGTAGAGATTAAATTTTCAACTGAGGGCTACACTGTCAGGGGAAGAAAGTGGTAATATGCATGAGTTGTCCCCGGCTATAGAAGTCAGATGGATGAAGTACTTCGCCTTGCTATCCTGAGTGCATTCCATGCTGAAGGTGGGTCCCAGCAGCCAGAGCCCCCCAGGGTCGACTTCTGGGGCAGGCAGCCAACATTCTGATGCAGCTGCCATTTTTCTTGGCTGATTCATGTGTGAAAGTGTCTCCCCCAAAAGCATTTGGGTCTTCTTTTTCTTTTTCCCAGAGCCAGGCTCTTATCAGACTAGAAGAGTCTCTTCATACAAATGGATCCCAGTTGGGAAGTTTATGCATGTTAAGGATAGTTGTTCATTCCAAATACATAACCCTTTTTGTCTGTGGCATCTCATATTTGACTATATTGCTTTTTCTACTTAACAGAATTGGATCTTAGAATCCTGGGGTGCACATTTTGATGTGACTTCAGAGATAACTTAAAAAATGATCATGTATCTCTGTCTTCTAAATTCAGGTGGTTTAACTCATTGTTTCTTTTTTCTGATGTGAAAGCATAGCCTTGAATCTGAACACAGCTTTTGCTTGTGTGTGTGCGTGTGTGTGTGTGTGTGTGTGTGTGCATGCGCACACACATGGGCAACGTAGCATTTTGGCATGTGCTGTGAAACTCTTCTGTACTCTTTTTTTTTTTTTTTTCCCCTGATCGGAAGAAAGATGACAACACTAAATCAACTGCCAGGAACATCTAAAACCAGTTCAGTATTTCCCCCTGGTTTCTTTTCCTAGGAAAAATATCACAGGTATCTTCCTCCTTTTCCATTTTCATTATATAAAATGTGTTGTTCCTGGATTGAGATTGGAGAAGGAAGAGAATGACATTTTGCAGTGTCTTTCAAGGAATAAATGCCATCAAAACACTTGAATGTGAAGTTGACACTACTTTGAAATAATGTAGCCCAGTCTACCTGAAGCTTAACAGACATGACTCAAAGAAAAAAAATGATTCACACAATATCAAGAGTACCTTGTGGCAGAGGTGGGACCAGACTTTATCCCTTGGGCTTCACTGCACAGCCTTATAACACCATAGCTTCTCAAAAGTATGCTAAGATCGCAATGAAGACCAGACCAAGCAGTCGGCCCCATTAGAGCTTGGAGGATACAATCAGGTCAGTGTGTCTTTGTTTCTTCTTAATCACAGTCTTATTATAAGCCTCAAGGATTTAGAACCAACAAAAGGAAATTCTCAATTTCCATTGCTTTTTGTACTCAACTTTTAAAGACAAAGATGGAAAAGATAAGAAAATACACAAGGGACTTTTTTTTACAAAACAATATTCTGTATGAAACTACTTATATGAGGTGTCTAGAGTAGTCAAATTCATAGATAGAAAGTAAAAGGGTGATTGCCAGGTATTGGGAGGAAAGGAGAATGGGGAGTTAGTCTTTAGTGGGCATGAGGTTTCCATTTGGGAAGATGAAAAATGTTTTGGGATGAATGGTGGTGATGGTTGCATAACAGTGTGATTGTCCTTAATTCCACTGAGCTAAACACTTAAAAATAATTAAAATGGGACATTTTGTTATGTGTATTTTACCACAGTTTTCAAAAACCACATTCTTGGTATAATCTGGAATCTCCATACCCCTATGCACATGCATCCACAGAAACAGGATATCATATTCTAAAGAATGATAACAAATTTATGCTATTTTTAATTCACCTTAATTTTGTTGTTTTCAAAATAATTGCATATACATGATGGTATCTGATAGTCACTAAAACTGGGAGAAAAGCATGACAGATCTTTTATTTCACAGATCAGGAAACTGAGGCTCAAAGTTACACTGCTGGCAAGTAACAGAGTGGTTCTAGAACCCAGGACTTTTGATATATATTCCTGGAGCCGTGTATGATCCCATGTAAAAATTTTAAATTGATACTTAACATATTATACTTACTAATCTTGGAAAAGAGACTAATACATTTTAAAAGGATTTTCAAAAACTTGAAGTGGTTTAGAGGTGTTGAGCATGAAAATAGGTTAACTTAGTTACCTCATTGTCTGGACATTCTGATTAACTGAGGTTTTACTGTATAGTAATAATAATGACAAACCCTTATATAGAACTTCACTGTGCATCAGGTACTGCTGTAAGTGCCTTAAGTATACTAACTCATGTATTGAAATGTATTATTTGTATTTAAAATGTGTAACAAAATTTATTGAGACTTGAATGTGCCACTTTCCTTACTGCTTTATACAC